TACTTGCAAACTTCAAGTATTGCTATAAAAGATAATTAGTATGTAAGCATTAATGCGATGAATGTAATTTACTAAAAATATTTAAACATGATGCAAATTCCCTCTAAACCATGAAATTTATCTTCGGACGATGAGGATGATGTCCTTAGACCATGATGTCCTGAGCCATGAAGCGTATGATAAGGTATCACAGGCCATGAAATGGTGTTCTCGGGCCATGCGGATGGTGCCTCTGAACCATGACGCCTTTGAATAATGATATTCAAATTTGATAAATCCTCAAGCTATGGCATGGTGTCTTCCGGCTATGAGGATGATGCCTTTTAGACTGTGACGTCTTTGGAGAAGTTGGCGATGTTTCAGCCCATGAGATGCAATAATATGATGATAGAATCAACAAGACAAGGCTTAGTCTTGTGAGCTTGAGGGCAGAGCTTAGCCCGAAAGAAAAGCAAAAACCGGAATAGAGCAATATTTATGCAAGGAGGGACAATGCTTAGTCCCATGCAAATATGGAGGCAGGGATTAGCCTAATGTAAATATGGAGGCATGGATCAGCCTCATGCAAGTATAGAAGCAGGGATTATCCTCATGCAAATATGGAGGTAGGGATTAGCCTCACGCAAATATGGAGGCAGGGATTAGCCTCATGCAAATATGGAGGTAGGGATTAGCCTCACGCAAATATGGAGGCAGGGATTAGCCTCATGCCAATTTTGAGGCAAGGATTAGTCTTATGCAAATATGGAGGTAGGGATTAGCCTCATGCCAATTTGGAGGCAGGGATTAGCCTCATGCCGATATGGAGGCAGGGATTAGCCTCATGCAAATATGGAGGTAGGAATTAACCTCATGCAAATATGGAGGTAGGAATTAACCTCATGCAAATATGGAGGCAGAGATTAGCCTCATTCATATATGGAGGCAGAGATTAGTCTCATGCAGGTATGGAGGCAGGGATTAGCCTCATGCAAATATGGAGGCAGAGATTAGCCTCATTCATATATGGAGGCAGAGATTAGTCTCATGCAGGTATGGAGGCAGGGATTAGTCTCATGCAGATGTGGAGGCAGGGATTAGCCTCATGCAAAATAGGAGGCAAGGATTAGCCTCATGCAGATATAGAGGCAGGGATTAGCCTCATGCAAATATGGAGGCAGGGATTAGTCTCATGCATATTTGGAGGCAAGGATTAGCCTCATGCAAATATGGAGGCAGGGGTTAGCCTCATACCAATTTGGAGGCAGGGATTAGCCTCATGCAGATATGGAGGAAAGGCTTATCCTCATGCAAGATTGGAGACAGAGCTTAGTCTCATGCAAAGAGAAGACATGGATTAATCTCATGCAAATATGGAGGCAGGGATTAGGCTCATGTAGATATGGAGGCAGGGATTAGCCTCATGCAGGTGTGTAGGTAGGGATTAGCCTCATGCAAATATGGAGGCAAGGATTAGCCTCATGCAAATATGGAGGCAGGGATTAGCCTTATGCAAGGATGAAGGCATTGTTTAGCCTTATGCAAGTAGAGGAAGATAGTTATGTAAATGAGAGAAAGCAATTCTTAGCCTTATGAAGATGAAGACTTTGTGCTTTGTTGTGTATATCCCTATGTAGGTGGTGGTGTTCGTGCTTTGTAGTGTATGCCTGGTGAGAATATTCTTGACGTTGTTGTACCTATCATTCCTTTTCAAAGAATTTGATGATACAATCCCAAATTTTGAGGAAACTCAAAATTTTGCCCCAGTTTCCTTTTTGGAGGGAAATTGAATTTTTATAATAATGAGACTGAACCAAATAATGGGTTACATACGTATCCCTTTTAAACAGAAATCAGATAAAAACATAGATTGTATTTGAAGCTTATAGAATCGCTAGAAAGTGCAAGATTGATGTAATCGAGTAGTCACCTGTTGAAAGTTTAGGTGGATGCTCCAAAAGAATAGAGTGTGACTAGAAGATCGAGCTTAGAAATAAAATTTTTAGACGAGTATCACGGGTCGGTGGGTGGAGATTAGTAGAGGAACACGTATCGCTTCAGTCGTATTGACCATTGAGACTGCAGTTCTCGAGAAGGTCTCTATGATTCAACATGTACGTGGAGATTATTACTAATACTTGTGAGAGTATTTTAGAATTGAGCAAATAAAGTACCAAAGCCAAACACATGAGTCTAGCATACTTGGATTTCAAGTCTTATGGCTTGGATGTAAAAGGTGCAAGATGAGCAAGACACAGGACCATAATGTCTGAACAAGATTAGGTCACATTGGGCTACTAAGACAGAATAGAATTAATCGGATAGAGGGAAGATTGATTGTATGAACGTGAAAATGTCCTATCTTTTAAAAATAGAATATTATGCCAGTTTGGAGAAAGTCACTAGAAGACTCTAGTATTGCATAAGTTGGGATACAAAACAAAAACCCAAAAATAATATTAGTCGGACAATAGCCCTAAGTATGATCTGGATTGAGTTCAATAGAGGATAGAAGCAATTGAAGGGTAAAACATCTCATTTTGAAAATGTTATACCCATATGAGAAAAATTGAGACGTAACATCATTTGAAGAAGAAATTACGTCATTAACTACATCTGATGAAAATGATAGGTCAGTCAAGTCGTGTAATCAATGGACGAAATACTCTCGTTAGGCAAAATAGGATATTATGCCCTTGGGACGGGGAGATAGTTTGTTCAGACCCAAGATTCGTATGATTTTAGCCTAAGGATAGAAGTCGAAGAAATGCCCTAAAATTGATTGTATTAGGCATGGAGTGATTTTGAAAGAATATGTCATGAGTACTTTGAAATAAATAGCAAACGAATAAATGGAAATATGTGACAGAGAATATAGATACACATAATAATGTGCAAATAAGCATTTATGGGGATGGCAAAAGAGATAAGGTTGATTTAGCCCTAACACTCCTAAATTTAAAAATTTAAGACAACAGTCAGCATATTAACACATCTTTTTCCAAATAATGCACATAAGGTGATTGTGTCCATTGGGGTTATGAAAATCCCGGTGGACTTTGGACAAGGCTTATCTTAAAGGGTTATTATGTGGACAACATATTAACCCGGCTAGGTTTGACCATGATGCATGCGCAATTGATCAGAGTAAGGCTGCTATAGAGGTCTAGACTGGGACCCTCAAGCGGACAACTTGAAGGGGAAAGGCACGGAACCATCGAATGCACCGCTGATCGACTAGTTTTACCGCAAATATGCCTTTTCGAATTTAAAGAGTGATATATGGGAAGAGCGCGGACACTCATCAAGGGTCGCTATATTGATATTTAGCACGAGTAGAATATGAGTTTAAAATATGCTTATGCAAAAGTCATAACATATGATCAAGTAATTTACATGGTGAAAGCATATAAAGGCAGTATTAAATAATGCGATAAAAAAAGCAAAAGAGAAAGGGAAGAAAAAAAATACAAAGGAAATAGGTTAGCATAGTTCAAAAAAAGTTCAAAACATAGTTAAATGAAACGAATAAAGGAGAAAAGGAAGGGAGGTTTATAGCAATTTTGAGCAAATAAAGGAACGGGAAAGGGAGGTACATGAAAGAAATCGAACAAGCAATCCAATAATCTACACAAGCAAAATTCATTATGGTAAGAGCCTAAGTATATCCCCAGCAGATTCGCCATGCTGTCGCGCCCCATTTTCTCGTGAAGAAGGGCTTTAACGTGTGACAACTCTTTTAAATGGGTATTAAAAGAGAAGAGTCGCCACCTAACGATTTTAAGGTGCGTTAGGGCACCTGTTTGCAAATAACTCTGTTTTAACTAAACAACGCCAGCAAAGATCAGGTAAGGGCTCAAATTACCTCAAAGAGAAGGTGTTAGGCACTCTTCGAGGTCCACAACTGTGGTTCCCGGCCGAATTTTAGACTATGTGGGATTATTGAATTAAACTAGGTTGTAGGTTGCTAAGCTGTGAATTAATCCTAGTGGTCAAGCATATACATCAATTAAAAGCAACTAATTAAAACTAGTCATGACAAAAATATAAGAATGGTAAATTATTAAAGCCTACTTAATTACATTAAAGGGGAGACCTAAATTTTTAAGCCTGATGGATCAACTCCCGTACAAAGTTTGCTAAGACTTTTATAGCCAAAAAATGCAATGGCTATTCGGGCAATTTGTGTATCATGTCCAGCTACCCTCATTACTATCTTCGAGTTATTAACCTAAGAGCATACTAGTTAATTCTAAAGCGCGTCTTAATTTAAAACTACCCGTCCCTTCTTATAGTCCAGGAGGCTTTGGACACTATTCTAAAAGGATTGCTCTAGACATAAAAAAAAAATTCAGGTTTCTATTACTATTCTTATTAGCATCACATAAAAGGGAGCACATTGGGACTTAAACAAGTAACACATAAGGCATGTGAGGGCTCATGTTGGCCTCCGAATTAATTAAATTGAGAGATGATAATTGAAGTAGTGAAATGAACTCTTATAATATAATAACTTTCTTGAATTGATACTACACAACTCAAGTATAAGCATACTAGAATAAACATAATTATAAAATTACTAAAAATGTCAAGTAGAAGATAAAGTAGTTTGGATTAAAGTATAAAGATACGTACTCTTTTGTTTAAAGGTAGATAAGAAAGAGGAATTGAAATAAGATACCTGATTTGAAAATCGTATGCCAGAAAATTTACCTGTATACAAAGATTGTTACTAGCCCCCAAGCCTTTAATAAATAATAAAAATATTATAGGAAGACTATACTTACTTAACATTTCTTGTTTCCATGAAATGAATCAAGGATGTTTTTTGTAAAACTAGTTTGATGATAGATTTAAAATAATTAGCAATCTCCACTGTTAAAAGAAAATTGAGTGCATTAAAAATTATTATTACTAGCACAATAACACAAACAGAAAATTACTTCTCCCTATTACTTAAATTCTATACGCATGGTAATAATATTGAAAATGAAAGCATGACTTCAATGATTAGTAAAAATAGAAACAAACCACAATAGCAAATAGCATATAGCAGCAACAAGTGACAAACAAGTTCCAGCCCCAATCATCCCTTTTACACAATTACAGATTATTTGTAGCACTATAAGGCCAACATTACAACACAAGCTAAACTAATGAGCTTCAGGCACAAAGTAAATTCCAACACAATAATTCTTAAACCTTCCCTTTCCCAGGCGACTCCAAATCCTCGCTCAATGCTCGAATTAGGCCATCCTGTAACATCATAGCCTAACCAGAACACATATGCAGCGCACATGGTGATCGAATTATCGCAAAAATAAATTTAACTCGTTACTTCCAAATAATATAACTTCAAGTATTTGGTTCAAACGATTTGTAATTTAGTCATGTAAAGATAAAGAACATGCTGAAAAATACAACTCGCTAGCCAATAACACCAACGAAGTTGTTGACTTCTCTTACTATTAGTTTCTAAATAGAGCACCTCTAGTGTTCAAATCAAATAAATAATTACTCAAACAAAATAAAGTACAAGCATTATTGGATAACAAGTTATCTGGATGCTTTATCCATAGACTGAATATCTAGATGAATTAAAATCCTAAGGACATGGTATCCGTGTTTAAGAACATCATGGCAGTAATGTTATAGCCAACAAAGCAAACAAATATAATTCTTAGCTTCCGACATACTATCCACAACTGGAAATGCAGTATATTAGGCCAGTTTATCCTAAACATGGTGTCTAAGTGTCAAAACAAGTGCACTGATTTAGGCAGGGTAGTTTTAACTACATAAGACCGGCAAACAACCTTAAGGTTTAAGGGAGGAAGTTTTAACAATCCAATGCCGCCTTTTATTAACTAAGAAATACTCACTGAAATGATACTTATGCAACATGAATTCAGCTCTATTCAAAGAATGAAGATCATGGAACTTACAAATATCATTCAAAATCTTTTAGGCAGAATTCCTACACTAAATCGTTGAACATAGCAGATAAGTTGGTGCTACTTTTATTTATGCAATCTTTAGTCCTAAATAAAAGAAATTATTTCCTAGTTACTAGGGTGCCAGAACAAATCCTAAAGACATTTATGATCAGGTCGTCTCATATTCAAAAACTCACACGTAAAGTCAAAAGATCAAAAACACACCTGAATTTAAGAGACGTACCTAGTTATTATATTGACATAATTTCAATAGAGTGCCGCATGGCATTCGATATCTTGTCATGGCCAAGAGTGTATAGAATACAAAACTAAAGAGAAGGACTAGTCTATTCTAACAACAACCAACACATAAAGGAATCATAATGCGGCATCAGGAAACTAACCGGTTTGTGGAGTACCAAATTTATAAGAAAATTAGAAATCTAAATAATGATTCACGGACAGAGCTTCAACAACAGTAAATATGCCAAACAAACTCCAGAAATACGCAGTGATTGCAATGAAAAAAACTCGAATGATAGTGACAAGAAACCAATACTCAAATCTCGATGCTCCGAGATCACCAAAACTTCTAAGAATTTCGAGCAACACTTGTGTCGAGTGAAATAAAAGAAAAGAAATTTTGCGTTGGCTTGCAATAAGCGAAGAAGTAGCCGAAGAGCAGTGAATGCAGAGTATATCACAGTAAAAGAAAAGTTATGGAAGTGATGAAGAGCAATGATCAAAAGTCCTCCTCCTCTTTCTTTTTTCTTTTTCTTTGCCTTAATAGTAGTAGTATTTATAGCTAAAAATTATTAATGCTCTAAGTAAAAAGGATAGAAATTAAGGCTAACAATTAGTACTTGAGAGAATCAATTAGCAGAAATCGGAGACCACAACTTTGGGAGAAAAAGTGATTCTTTCTACATATAAAAAGTATATGAATATTTATCAAATTCAACTATAATATAATTAAAGCAATACTAAATCATGTCAAGAAGGAAAGAAACTTACGGGATTGAGTTTCTCTGAAAATTATTATATCAAATCAAAGAAAGCGGAACCCGCGATAAAATCAAAATCTTTACCTATTTGGGGACTCCTATGAACTTGAACAGATTTTTTAATGAAATTCGTACCCAAATCTTCCACTAAAATTCCTTCTTTACGGGAAGAGATATAATTTTTGATTTTTGAGTGATTTGTGAAGAAACTATGCTATGACATTTGGTAATAAAGTAGTAAAATAATTAAAGAAATAACTAAATAGAAAAAGGAAGGAAAGTAAGAGAATAAATAAGATAATGGACTAAAGAAGGGAAAATTGACGTTTGTTGCTGGCGAGGAAGGTATAATATCGGAGAATTGGTTTGGGGTTAGTCTCGTTGAGATTTGGTTTAAAGTGGTTGGGCTTAGGATATTGTTGGGTGAAGTGGGCTTCATTTGGACAGAGAACGCATGTTGGGCTAGATAAATAGGGGAGTATTTGGGTGTGATGACCTTTTGGGTCATCACTTGCTTTAATATGAAATTCTACTTTTCAAGGTCTTAAAAACCTCTTTTAGCATCACCTCGATTTACGTGTGCAGTCCGGGAGCGTAGCCGAAAAATCTAAATGTGAAAATCTGTAACAACAAATAATAAATTTTGACTATAAAATAAATTTATTTCACTTCGGTCAACGTTTTAGGTAAATGGATCCGGGCCCGTGATTGGACGGTCCCGGAGGGTCCGTAGGAAAATATGGGACTACGGCGTATGCTTGGAATTGAATTTCGAGGTCCCAAGCCAGAGAAATGAATTTTTGAAGAAAATTATTTTCTGAAATTGTTCATTAGGTTTGGAAATGAATTTTTATTAGAACGTATTGGTATCGGGCCCGTATTTTGGTTCTGGTGCCCTATACAGGTCTTATATATGATTTAAGATAATTCTGTGAAGTTTGGTAAGAAACGGAATCCGTTTGACGCAATTCGGACCTTAAATGCTAAATTTGATGTTTAAAGAAGTTTTGAGAAATTTCATTGATCTTGAGGTTTAATTCGATGTTCATGATATTATTTTGGTGATTTTATTATACGAATAAGTCCTTAGGATGTTTTTGAGGTTGTGTATATATTTGGGTCGGAGCCCCGAGGGATCGAGTGAGTTTTGGATAGGCCTTGGAGTGCATTTTGAACTTAGAAAATTGCAGGTTTTTCATATGTGCATAGCATGCCTGCAGGCTTTGCATTTGCGAAGCCTGGCTCGCAAATGCGAGTGGCTTGTCACAATTACGAAAGAAGCCCAGTCCAGCTTCCTCTCGCAAATGCGAGGTTATCCTCGCAAATGCGAAGTTTCCCGTTTGGCCAGTGATCGCAAATGCGATGCTGTAGTCGCAATTCCAAAGTCGCAAATGCGACATTATTTTCGCAAATGCGAAAGTCCAGTATTTATGAAGGGTTCGCAAATGCAAGCCCTATTTCACATTTCCCAGCTTAGCAGAGGTCGGGCTTCGCAATTGCGAACCCCTGTTCGCATTTCCCATACCTGCGACTTGCAACTTTATACTTAGACGATTTTAAACCCATTTTTCATATCCTCTCAAAACATAAACACACCAAGGGCAATTTTTCAAAGGCTTTTTCTTCTCCAAATCAATTGTAAGTCATTTTTAACTAGTTTTCTTCAATCATTAACATCTTTTAACATGATTCAACTCAAAATCAATGATTTTCATGGGGGAAATTGGGTGTTTTGGGTAGAACCTAGGTTTTTCAAAAAATTGGGGATTTGGACCTCGATTTGAGGTCCGATTTCAAAATGAATCATATATTTGGGTTCGTGGGGAATGGGTAATCGGATTTTGGTTCGAACCTCGAGTTTTGACTATGTGGGTCCGGGGGCGATTTTTGACTTTTTGGGTAAAAACTTTGGAAAACTCATTTTCATACATTGGGGTTGATTCATTTAGCGTTTATTGATGTAATTAAGTAACTTGTGGCTAGATTCGAGCGAATTTGTGGTGGAATCAAGTGGTAAATATATAATTGAAATGTGAATTATGCTCGTGGCATCGAGGTAAGTGTTTGGTCTAACCTTAGCTTGAGGGATTAGGAGTTGAGTCCTATTTGCTATGTGGTAATTATTGAGTACGACGTATAGGCATGGTGACGAGTATCTATACGTTGGTGTCTAGCATGTCTGTGAGTTTTTATATTGTGATTATCATGACTTCATTGTATCTTTCATGCCTTAGTGGTGGTTTCTAATTGTTGTATAAAGTTTGTGGAAGGATTTGTGACCTATGAACATTTAGGAGCGTTGGCTCAAGTTGTATAACGAATAGTGAAAGTATAAGTGATAATTGAACCTCTAGAGCATTGGCTCGAGTTGTGAAGTGAATTGTGAAGTAAAAGTGAGAAAGAGAAGAGATCATTATGTTGTCACCCTTGCCGGGCTATTGTTGATTTATTTGTTATCTCTCTTGTGTGATGTTGACGTTATTGATGTTGTTCCCTTGCGGGATTCTTATTGCAAATTTGATTTATTCCCTTGCCCTATTATTTGTGAATGTTGTTTGGGTGAGGAAGAGAGTTAAAGCGCGAAGGGTGATGTCGTGCATTGTTTTTGTGAGGAAAGAGTATAAAGCACGAAGGGTGATGTCGTGCCATACGATGTACCATTCCATGCCTATTATATTGATTTCATGGTGAGGAAAGAGTGTAAAGCACGAAGGGTGATGTCGTGCCGCATGATGTACCATTCCGTGCATATTGTATTAATTCTTATGGTGAGGACGAGAGTAAAAGCACGAAGGGTGATGTCGTGCACTTGTCTTTGATTTTCCCTGATTCTTGCTGATAATTGAGTTATGTTGTCCTTTACATTTATTTCCTATTTTTCTGTTGTTACTTGATTTTATTTCGAGGTTATAGATTCCCTTACCTTATTTGCCTTGTGATTATTGTTTGGGTTAGGAAGAGCGTAAAGCATGAAGGATGATGCCGTGTATTATTTTGGTGAGGGAGTGTTAAAGCACGAAGGTGATGCCGTGTATTGTTTTGGTGAGAGAGAGAGAGAGTAAAAGCACAAAGAGTGATGTCGTGCACTTGTCTTTGATTTCCTAATTTTTATTGGTAACTGTGTTACGGTTTCTCTACACTAAATTGTTGGTTTCCTGTTGATACTTGTTGTACCCCGCAACATGATTTCCCCATCCTATTTTCAATTGAACTGTGGTGAACCTCATGCTTATTCATTGCTCTTCTGTTATTATTCGATGTTTCGCCGTAGCATGTTTTCCCCCTCCCATACTTGATTGTATATGACTGTTTCTTTTCCCCATCCCATACTTGATTGTATATGACTGTTTCTTTGTGTACTTCTTTTTCCGTTGTATATAGTTAAATTACACAGGTTTATTTGGTAGTCTGGTCCTAGCCTCGTCACTACTTCGCCGAGGTTAGCTAGGAACTTACCAGCACATGGGGTCGGTTGTGCTGATACTACACTCTGCACTCTTTTGTGCAGACCCCAGTGTTGTGGACTTCGGACCACAGTGAGATTGTTAATTCTTGATCATCAGGAGACCCGAGGTAGTCTTGCAGGCGTCCGCAGGCCTTGGAGTCTCCTTCTGTCTAGTATTCCTGTTTCTTTCGCTGCATTTATAGAGACATCATTGTATTTATTTATTTATTTCACACCCTTTATTTCTAGTATTCTTAGATCGTTTGTGAAACTATAACACCAGTTCTGGGTAGTCGAGAATCAAATAGTTGTATTGCATATTCATGATCAGATAGCTTTTGTTTGTTTCTGCCACTTATATTAAATTTTGCTGTTTAACTATTATTATTTCGAAATGGTTAATGAATATAAAATGGGTAAAGAGGTAAATTATGCAATTGATTGGCTTGCCTAGCTCGTATTAGTAGGTGACATCACGACTCCCGAGGGTGGGAAATCCGGGTCGTGGCAAATTGGTATCAGAGCTCTAGGTTACATAGGTCTCACAGTTCACAGACAAGCTTAGTAGAGCCTGAGGGATCGGTATGGAAAAGTCTGTATTTATCCCCCAGAGGCTACAGAGTTAGGAAAAACTTCACATTTATTCTTTCCTATCGTGCGGTTTGGTCTCTCAATGCTAATTGAACTTCTACTCTGTTCTTTCGCAGATGGCGAGAACACGTGCTTCCTCATCCACTGACCAGCAGCCCGAGCCCCCAATAGGAGCTCCCACGAGGGGCAGAGGGTGAGGCCGAGACCGTGCTAGAGGCCGAGGTAGGGGCAGAGCTCATCCCAGAGCAGCAACACCTACAGCGGAGCCTCAAGTTGATTTTGATGATAAGGTTCCGGACCCAGCACTTCTGGTGGGCCCAGCTCAGGTCCCAGAGGGGTTTATTGCTACCCTAGTTCTTCAGGATGCTCTGGTCCATCTAGTGGGCCTTATGGGGAGTGTCACCCGGGCAGTTTGCTTCCTATATCACCAGCCGTCTCTTAGGCTGGAGGAGGAGCCCAGACTCCTGCTATTCGCACTCCAGAGCAGGTAGCTCCCCAGATTCAGATTCCAGTAGTTCTGCCAGTTGGAGCAGTTCAGCCAGGTGTGGTAGCTCAGACCGATGATGGAGCAGCTATGTCTGCCGATGCTTTGTGGAGGCTGGATAGGTTCACCAATCTCTTCATTACTACTTTCAGCAGTGCATCTACTGAGGATCCCCAGGATTATCTAGACAACTATCATGAGGTTCTTAGGAACATGGGGATAGTTGAGACCAATGGGGTCGATTTTGCCACTTTTCGCTTGTTTGGATCCGCCGAGACTTGATGGAGGGATTTCTGTTTGGCTAGACCAGTCGGATCGCCAGATTTGACTTGGGAGTAGTTCACTCAGCTATTACTGGAGAAATTTCTCCCCATCACTTAGAGAGGGGCCTATCAGAGGCAGTTCAAGAATTTTCAGCAGGGTTCCATGACTGTTACCTAGTATGAGACGAGATTCATCGACTTGGCTCGTCATGATCTTGTCATACTCCCCACTGAGAGAGAGGGTGAGGAGGTTCATTGATGGACTTATTTAGCTGATTCGTTTTCAGATGGCTAGGGAGATTGGGAGTGAGATATCTTTCCAGGAGGCGGCCAATATGGCCCGGAGAGTGGAGATGGTTCTGTCGCAGGGAGGTAGTCATGGGTCAGACAAGAGCCCCGTCATTCAGTCCGATTCAGTGGTACCTCGTCTGGAGGTAGGGATTCATATGGTAGAGGCCATACTCATAGGCCTTTTCAGTCAGCACTTCAGGTTTCTCATGGTGCTTCAGGTGGC